TAACTAATATTACAATTTCTAAGAGTAGTTGTCTACAAATATTAAGTATCTTTTTGGAGATATTTTCCTTTCAAATAATCAAACGTGACATTCATTGACCATTTTGTCTTTATTTTTTGTTCTTTTCATTATCTTAACGATACTATTTTTTTCAACCGAGCATCAAAGGGAAGTTTGATCATTGGTAGTTTTAAACCCTATTGTGAGTAAATGAGCCATAGTCTGAATGAATGAGTACCATCATCACCACAGGCTGAAGGATTTTGACATGGTTCAGTGCAGATTTGCAGGCTTTGCTAGCCCAAATCGGGGTTATGCTTGTTGGTGCTTTTTGCATAAACTGTGCATTAAATAAGGAGAATTTATTTTCTCAGTGTTGCCTATTTTTCTCTCTTTTGTCACAAATAACAAAGGATAGTTATGGGTAATAGCTCTTTGTGACTTCTTCACCCCCTGAAGTGTGAGGGGTTGAAACCTGCTGGTGGATTAGTGGTTTCTCAGACAGCTCGTGTGTGGATTGGGATTGACTCTGTAGGCTGACCTATCCTCTTAATGCTAATTGGTTAACCCTCTAATCCAGCTGGTAGTCAGCAGTAAAACTTCCCAGTTGGCCTGCTGGCTGAAGCTCAGCCTGCTGTGCAGGAAGCTGCTGTCAGACTGTCGGTTCAATAGACCCTTTTACTGTTTGTAAACAATATGACGTCAGCGAGAATGCGCGCGCAGCTTGGCAACAGAGAATGGCGTGTCAGGCTTTAACAAGCTACGCTGCGGATTTATCACCGGCAAATTATATTATTAAAGTCACTTTAACGAATGGCAACAGACTCCCGGATCCCTGTGGCATTACGGAATGGGTGGAAGATGTAGGTGCGTGGCCAGATATCCAGTGGCCCGATATGTATACGGTTTTAGTGGAGAGGCCCAGTAAGTACACACGTGAGAAGCTACGGGCATACAAATCGTTAGATGCATACAACTATGTTGTCTGTGGCCACGTACAGAAAGTAAAACATCACGACATAGACTCTGAGTTTTGCGTCTTGAAGGCAGAAGTCCTTCCTAGCCAAAGACAAGGACACAAGACTGCTATGTACGAGGCTTGGGTCATAGTAAACAAACCAGAGAACTACGTCTTCACAGCCAACTGTACCTGCATGGCAGGGTGAGTATAGCATAGGTTTCTTTTTTTAGCGTGCTCAAGAGTACAATCGTGTTAATTTTAGAGAAATACAGTTTATACTAATATGCAGTGGGAAAATACAGTTGAATTAGAATGAAATCTTAATTTGAAGCATGAAATAAAGCGTATACATTTGTTTAATTCTGTAATTTTGATGTTCCAGACTTGGGTCATGCTGCAGCCACGCAGCAGCAATTTTATTCAAAGTTGAGCTTTGTGTTAGGATGGGAAAAACAGAAAACCTTGCCTGTAAATAAATAGACTGCTTAAAAGCAAACCAGCAAACGCAACTTACTTTATTTAATAGAACACACGTTGACCAGCTTTCTGGTGTAACCTTAGTACATAATTACCTTACCTGATATAAAATGGGCGCTACAAACTCGAGCATTTCGGATCGTGTTTTCAGTCCAGTTTTCATCAACCCTTTTGATGGCCTGCAGCCACAGACACCTCCGATTTTGTTGAAATGGCTGTGCTCCCTTCGGAATTCTGTAAAGTTTCAGTCCACTGCTTGAAGAGAAGCGATTCTGGCATCCATACACGCAACAACCCGACATTTTTATGTGCTCAGAACTTCAAAACAAAGGGTTTAAAACGCTGTTTTAGTATCGAGTGTGAATGAGGAAGCCTTCACTCTTGTTGCCAGGCTGCACGCGCAACTTTTGATGACGTAGGTAGTAAAAGGGTCCATACCAACAACAGTAGCGGTTTTAGGCACGGGAAGACAGGGCAGTTGCCCGGGGCGGCATTTTTTCATGATACAAAAGGGGCGCACAAGCGCTGAGTAAAAAAATAAAAAAGAAAGAAATCTGCGCCGCACCGAGGTTTTCTATTATCTGTCATATGACAGTGTCTGGATTAGAAACAGCAAGTTGGCGCCCCCTGCAGCTGCAGGCGCTCCTGCTGACTGAGAACGTTCATGTGCACCATGTGTGTATGAAGAACAGGAAGGGGAGGGGTGCGGCGGGGGAATTCACCTCTGGGTCTTCCCAAATGAAATGAGCGGGTAGGGGCTGAATCAACTGTATTAACATGGCTAAAGTCAATCACATCTTGATGTTCTTCCATTTAACGCTCATTTCATTCATAATATCATAAACGCAGGCCTAACGTTCTTTCAGGTTTTTCTGAATTGTGTGAAATGGCCAAATAAAAAAAGGAAAAACAAAACGATTTTGTGGTCACCCCCCCATCAAGGTCAAATTCTTTAGTCCTGACTAAAGGAAACTTACTGAGTCAAGAGCCAAACAGAAGAGATGAACATTAAAAGGCTAAAACCACCAGGTGCCCGATTCAGAAAAAAAGAGAAGATAAAGGTATGTACGCTCTCATGATGCATGTTTTCAGTTATTTGAACCAGTTAACTGGGATTTTAACGGTTAAATTCAGTCAACTAGTTGCTAACAGAGCTAATAGAGCTGAAATATTGAAACGAATATTCAAATGGTTCGAAAAAACCCCTTGAATTGTTTTTTACTGATTCAAACTAGGATTTGCTAAATGCTCGCTGCAGCCTGTGGGCTGCCTGAACAACAACAAACACATGTTGATCATGTTCACATAATAATAAATAAAACAACGGGGTCAAAGGGGGCCTCGCCCAGGGAGTAATTCCATGTAGAACCGCCACTGACCAACAACTGGTGAGCCTTCACAAGTAGCTGGATGTTGTAAAGTTGGGAATCCTCTCAGACAGTGTGCTAGAGGCTCTGTAATGACTTGGCTCATTTGTAGTTGGACTTTCTTGGGTTGGTCATTCAATGTACAGTATACCTAATAAGTGTTTTTATTTATTTTTTCAGCAATTGATGCCGTTGGAATTCAAATAAATGACATTTTCAAGAGTGAATACAACACCAGTAGCTCAGGAGGTAGAACGGTTTGTCCGGTAATTGGAAGGTTGTAGGTTCTATCCCAGCTCCTGTCATAGAAGGCAGAAAAGGCTGCTGTTGTCCTTGCAGCCTTGCCTACTGGTTGTGGCAGGAGGGTCCAGGGGCGCCAGTGTCTGGCAGTCTTGCTTCCATCAGTGCGCCCCAGGCCAGCTGTGGCTATATTGTGGCTCATCATCACCATCATGTGAATGTGTGGATGACTGATTATGTTGTGAAGCACGTTGGGGGGTTGTTGAACCCTAAAGCTGGTTTTCCAAGAGCACGACTCAGAGTTACTCAGACCGGTGCAGCGCGGCCTGACCAGTTTCCAAAGTCAGTTTGATATTTTTACTGAACTTTCTCCCCAATTTTTTGTCCCTGCTCTATTGAGGCACCTGGCAAGGCTGAGTCGGGCCAGCATTGTGACTCTGGCCGCTGATTGGGGTCAATGGTTGCTCTGGTGTTCTGCTTTCTGCTTCACTGCCTGCAGCCATTTCCTGGTTTTGAGTCTGACAATTGGTCAGACATGTGACCTGCCAACCAGACCACCCCCCAAGCACCATTTTGGGTGTATGAGTCGCATTGCTAGGGGAAGTCACAGACGAAGTTGAAGCAGAACAAGAATCAGTTGGATTGATAAAAAATAACAATGATGAACGCATCCCCTACAGAAATAAACTCGTGGAGGTGGCTAGGGATCGGTATTTTCACCTACGTAGATCCCTACGACCTCAAAGGAAACAAACGAAGCTCAGACGTTTAATCACTTTCTAAAAACCCATGACAATTCAATTCAAATTCAAAAATGCTTTATTGATCCCAGAGGGAAATTAGAGTTTCAGTACACACAATTCTAAGATCAGACATACATAGACAGACACATGACAAGAATTGGTGACTGTGGTCATTTGAAACCCGAGTTGCGCTACCGTAATAGATCAAGAGGGTTTATATGAGGATAGTCAGGGGGAGGGGGGAAAAGGCACTTCAGAGTTACCCTCAACAGGGAGGGCAGCTTTGCTATGCAAAAAAACACCTCAGACAGATATGCACATAGACTTCAGACATCACACAACATAAGTGTCCACTAGGTGGGGAGGTAGGGTTGGGACTCTCCTCACTTCAGTGTGTGCAGCCGCATGGAACAGCGCTCATCACCTCCGTTTGGACAGGGGAGGGAGATAATGGGTTAGAGGGCGCATTGACTCCTAGATACGGTTCCACGGCCTTCACCGGTCACAGTCCCGCCCAGGCTGGGATAGGGAGAAGAGTTACCATAGCGACGACAACATTCCACATGTCTTCTGAGGGGGTAGTTTTCACTTCAGCCTCACAGGCTCCAAGGGCACCAGATTCAGATAAGAATTGTTTTGGGGACAGACAGAGATAATTTCCTCTCTGCCTTAGAGTTCTGTTGGTCTTCAACCCCTCTAGATCCAATAATGGCGTAATTAATCAATCCCAATCCATGCTAATCCGTCAACTCGCTCCTTGATGGAATCCACCTTCTGTGCCAGAATCTGAATCTCAGCCAAAGTTCCAAGCTTACAACTCATCTCGACAGTTAGTCGTAGTAGGATTACACTTGAGTAAGTGTAGCGCAACTTCAGCATATTTCATTTGTATTATTTTCTTCTATTTGGTCTAAACAAGCTGCTTTTTCCTGCTGCATTCTGGTTCTGCTGCTGGCCCGTGACCCACAGATGTGATCCGAGCTGCTCTCCACAGCTCCTCAGCGAGCTGTCCACTAATGCAGGGGTTCCCATTTCCGGGGTCGCGACCCCCCCGGGGGTCGCAATACGCCCCTGCTGGGTCGCGAAACAAGGCTCTTTACGGCAGTTCAATTTGCGACCGACGGGTTACTTTGCAGCGCCGCGGTAAACACGTTTCTTCTGAACAACTGAAATATTCCAAAAAGTTTTACGGTAATATTGTTTATATGCAATATGAAGCGCTGGTTAACACAGATTAGAGACAACAAACAGAAGCCAACTGATCATGCAGCAGCAGACTCAGAGAACAGCGGGGGTCCGCCTTCCACATCTGAGGCGGGAGGAGGAGCCCATAAACTGCTGCGCAAGGCGCAGCTGAATCAGCCTTCGCCTGAATTTCGCAGGTATCGAGAGGAATATATCCAGTATGGATTTACGTGCACTGTTATAAAAGAAATACAATACCCCCAATGTGTATTGTGCACTGAGTTGCTTGCAAATGAGAGCTTTAAGCCTGCAAAAATGCTCCGACATTTGAAGACTAAGCACTCCTCATTTGCAGCTAAACCAGCAGACTTCTTCCGTCGAAAAGAGAGAGCATTTCAAAGCCAAAAGAAAGTTATGACCAACCAGAAAACAATCTCTGCAAAAGCTCAAAAGGCATCATATGAGGTGGCATATTTAATTGCACAGGCAAAAAAACCGCACACAATCGGAGAGATCCTAATAAAACCTGCTGCCATCGCAATGAGCCAAATAATGCATGGGGATAAACAAGCCCAGGAGCTGAAAGCGGTCCCGCTGTCTGATGGGACAATATCCCGGCGCATCACAGAGATGGCGCAGGACATCAAGTGTCAGTTGATTGACAGAGTCAAGAGAGGAAAATGTGCTTTGCAGTTAGATGAATCCATAGATGTCGCAAACTCTGCACAGCTGCTCATTTTTGTCAGATACAGTTTTGATGGAAAACTTCACGAGGACATGCTGTTTTGCGCCACACTGTCAGCAAAGTGCACAGGTGAGGACATTTTCACAGAAATTGATCAAAAACTGAAAGAGGAGGGGCTGTCTTGGGATGAATGCATCAGTGTGTGCACAGATGGTGCTGCAGCAATGCTGGGGAAAAATAAAGGACTTAAAGCAAGAGTTGTACAAGTGGCCCCACACATAAACTTTACGCACTGCATTATCCACAGAGAAGTTCTGGCGAGTAAATCGCTAGACCCAGAGCTTAAAACGGTGCTTGAGAGTGCAACAAAAATTGTCAACCACATAAAATCCCGTCCTCTGAACACAAGACTGTTTGCTGCTCTCTGCAACGAAATGGGATCAGAGCATCAAAGTCTGCTTTTCCACACAGAAGTCAGGTGGCTGTCACGGGGAAACGTTCTCAGGCGCTTGTTTGAGCTGCGGGATGAGGTGCGCCTATTTTTGTTGGAGCACGGATCTCACCTTGCTGCCCATCTGACTGATCCTGACTGGTTAACAAGGCTAGCATACTTGGCTTGCATATTTGACAAGCTGAATGGGTTAAACACATCACTACAAGTTGAAAACGCAAACATCATGTCACTGAATGACAAAATTAATGCATTCAAAAGGAAACTGGATCGGTGGTCTGCACGAGTAAAAACGGGCTGTTTTGACATGTTTCCTGAACTGGTGGAGTTCATGGAGGAAAATGATTTGTGTGTTAACACCGTTAAGGGGTATATCACCATGCACCTTCAAACCCTCTTGGATCACTTTATCAAGTTTTTTCCTGAGGAAACAGCTCCAGAAAAATATGACTGGATAAGATCCCCATTCACCGTAACAAGCACACATCATTTGTCATCCGACATTGAGGACGCACTGGTTGAACTGTCAAGTGACCGCACCTTAAAGAGTGCTTTTAACTCAAAGATGCTTGCTGAGTTCTGGATTTCAGTTGAGAGAGAATATCCACAGCTTTCTAAGGCTGCGATTGACATTCTGATGCCGTTTGGCTCCACATACCTGTGCGAAAAGACTTTGTCAACCCTCACATATATTAAAAATAAATACAGATCACGTCTTAACGTGCAGGATGATCTTCGAGTGGCCATCTCTAAAATTAAACCCAGAATGGATTTACTCGGCTCCAAGCATATTGCCCACCCATCTCATACATTCTGAAAATGTGAATAAGCACGGAAACAAAGTTCCTCTGTATTACATTGTTTGTGACTTTGCATGAGTTTTTTTTTTTTTTTGCTACATTGAAATGAAAGCACTTTTCCGTTACCATTTTTTTAAGATTTCATCAAGAATTGCATTTGTTACAAACATTTGTAACCCGTTTAGGAGTGTTGTTTTAATATGTTCTGAAAATGTTTACTCAAGGGAGGCAGAGATGCATGTCCATTTGTTGCCATGGCAATGCTGTGTATGTGTGAGCGTGTGCAGGGAGGGGGACGGGAGAGAGTAAAATTAGGGAGAAAGTGTGGAGATTGTTGTGGCACTGAGTTGCTGTCACTTTAGAAGCTGAAAATTAACCAAAATGCTAACTGACTGCCTTATTCTTATCAAAACTGCCAAGGATTGTTACATGTTAAAGTTTGCACACAACAGCAAGAATGTTTTCAGAGTCGCCTTTTACAGTTTTCAAATGTAAATTCGTGCCATATTTACCTGCTGAGGGTTCTAAACCTGTCTATTTGAGTACACTTATTAAAGATTAAGTTCCACGTGTGTGTTTAATTATTTCACTCATCTCCAGGGGGTCGCGAGACTTTGAAACTGTTAATTTATGGGTCACGGACTGAAAAGTTTTGGGAACCCCTGCACTAATGCATGCTAATGCATGCACTGATCGTGGTGTCCGGGTCAGAGATGATACTCAGATGTTCTAATGGGAATCTTTTTTTATTGATTTTGTTCCATGATGTTCTCTTTGTGTAACGTTTAAAATGTCTGCACTAGGGGTTGTACGAACTAGTCGACTAGTCGACTAGTCGACTTCAAGGCTCTGTAGTGACTTTTTATGCCTGTCATCAACTAGTCGCTGTCACGTGATAATAACTGACAAGATGCAGTCCTCGGAAAAGACAGCAGGTGATGAGCCCCTGCGCGTCTGGATCGAGGCGGAGGCAACGCGCTGTGCGGTACTGACACCGGCGGTAAAACGGACATTTAACCAAACTGTGACCTTTTCCCTCTTGCAATTTAACCTTCCCCTCACCCCCATCCTAATCTTAACCAGTTTGTGCATGCAAAGCTCTGATCGTTGACGTGCGCTCCAGACATTGCGTCCTGCACCGCCAAATCAGGTGTCACCACCTCAAAAACAAATTAAACACGCGATCGTTCATGTCGGCTCATTTCCTTTCATGTTTTCTGTCTGTTATTTGTGCCTGATGCGTTTCGCTGCTGCGGAGCGAGGCTCTTCACCTGTTTTGTTCTTCGGTGACGCACCCCCAAGATTCCATCTCCACTCCGCTCCGCTCCAGCATGAACTCTGCAGCAAAAACGGTCCCGTTGTAGTCGGCCGGCGAGCAGCGGCACTCCGCTGTTTTAGCGGTCGGTAGATCTTTCAGAACTGCAGTTCAAAGGTAACTCATAAGGTGAATATATATGAACCCAGGTAGCAGTTTCTCTTTAGGACTGAGAGGAGATGCAGGAAGATAATAAACAGACAGGACAGAAAAATAGTCAAATAAAAACAAGTTCGTTTTTGTACCTGGTGGTTGCAACAAACAGACACCACTGAAGGTAATCAGAAGTGAGGAACAGAAAATGAAATAATTATTTTAATGTTTAGAGCAGCAGGAAAGGCTGCAGGCTCATCAGTGAGTTTGCGGCTGCTGCGCAGGGGGAGGGGGAGAGGACTGAAGTAGGATGCAGAAACTACCGTTATTAAAAAGATGTGTTAACTTAGAAAATGTGGGCGCAATTGTAATTGTCAAAAACTCCAGCGAACCTACCGACCGACCCCCCCCCCCCCCCCGCTTCCGGCGTATGACGTCATCAACGACTAGTCGAAGTCGACTCGACTTTCATTACTTGACTGTCGACTTTAAAAAAAATAAAGTCGTGCAGGCCCTAGTCTGCACATCTGCATGCGTCGCTTATACACCTAGCTATCCCATCACGCAACATGATGCAACACTTGATGCGTCTTCTGACAAAGACCAAAAAGCCATGAAACTGAGCAACATCTTCAGCAACACCACCATTTTTGAGCTGAGTTGTGTTTCTATGGAGCATACGGATCACTTTACACTGTTTCCGGACATCTCATGCTATTTAGTCATGAGTAAAAATCGCAATTAGATGCAAGTTTTTGTCACTTGAAACATGAAAAAAATTAACTAATAAATAGTAGTACTCAGGAAAGGGTCACCAAGAGTTTATGTGCTTATTTGAAAATGTATTAAGTAAATTACGCAACAAATAAATGTAATCCAAATGAGTTTACAAAGAGACACTCAATCCTGCTGCAGAATTGATCTGCCTGATGAGATAATAGAGGTGAACCGACGGCCATTTCCAGCCATACCTCTCTTACAATGAGAAATTGCACCGGACAGGTAATGGGAAAGAAGATGTACCAGCGCCACAAGGATCTTAATTACTTCACGTGCAACCTAATTGTATTGCCATGCACAATCTGCCAGTCGTTCAGTTAGTGCTAACAACATTACACTCAAAGGGAACTAGATGCCAGATGTTTAGGATGGAGCTGTCAGGTCACATTGAGGAGAATTCAGCAGCACAAACTCATCTCTTTTTCTATTTGTCTTATTTTCGCTCACTGTGGTGAAAATTAAATATTATATTTTTAATAAATGATCCGAATAATAGGACACACAAACACACACCTGCTGGAATTTTCTTGTGAAAAGACAAATGGGGTTCTAAACTCTTGAATGTGAATTTTTTAAGATTTTGTTACGTGAATCTAAAAGGTAGATGGTGTTGTACTTCCTTTACAGCCAGAAGCTGTACTAACGATCAAAGTGCATATTGAAAAAGCATTTAAATGAGAAACATGGGTTGTACTTGTCATGTTTGGAGGAAGGTACTTAACCCAAGACACACAGAATACAACACTGACCAAAAACGGATGGAAAAAATGATTTATTTATAAGGAGGAACTTAAGGTGCACAGATAAGTCTGTGGTTGGAACTGCAACAACAGCTCAGCGTCTGGAGGAGGGAGAACACAGGTGAACATAGGTTCTGGTTTCAAAATCCACAGTAGGCAGGCAGAGGTGTTCAGCAGACTTACTGTGGGGCGTGTATATGTTGGCTGGAGGAGGGAGAGGTAGAGAGCCGGGGGAAGCGCAGGAGAGGGAGCAGAGGTGGAGAGAAGCGGGGCGTCCTGGTGGATGGGGCACTGGGTGAGATGAGAGGTAGGCTATGGAGGGTGGTGATAAGGTCCGTGTGCTGAATATCAGAATCCTGGAGTAGAGGTCAGTATCCAATGAGGTCGACAGGAATCCTGAAGAAGGGTAAATCCAATATAAGAGCAAAAACACTACGAAATAACTAATCCTAGGAACACTAGAGGTAACACGAGTGGCTGGCTACTACCAAAACTGAGGCAATCTTCCGGCGTCGAATTGTGTCCACCATCCACCTTAAATAGGAAAGCACCCCGCTGATTGCTGATCAGGAACAGCTGGGCCACTCCCTCTCCTGGCAAGAGACTCACAGATGGTTAAGGGAACAGGAGTACTCACCCCGGCTCATGACAGTACTTTCAGGTGGTTGCAGTAAAGTTTTATAGTCTAATTTCCCTCTGGGATTAATACAGTATCTTTGAATTTGAAAAGAAGGCAACTGGACTTCTTTGGTTTATGGAAGATGTTTAGCTTCTCACCTGAGGAGTTTTGTCAGTTCTGACTGGAATACTGTTGCTTAACCAGCTGAAACTACCTATGAATACCCCCCAAACCCTGATCACTTGTTGATGTCATTAGGGCCCTATTGTGTTAGAATGGTTGTTTTGATTAGATACAGGAGGGTGTGACTGTGACCTAGACTGAAACTGTTTTGAAATTATTTCAGAGCTGTCTTATAGGAGCTGTACAGGTGAAATATGCAGAGGTGTGGGCTCGAGTCATATGACTTGTACTCGAGTCATTATTTTAAATGACTTCTGACTGAACTTGATCAAATCTGCAAAAACTTGCCACTTGACTTGGACTTGAATGCCAATGACTTGCGACTTGAATCGACTTGCATCTGTTGACTTGATGATGACTTGAACATATTTGAAATTTTAGCACAAAAGTGGCACAACGTGGACAAAAATCATAAATCATTCTTGGTTCTGGGTTTGATCTTGTACTGCTAACTGCAGCAGCACTTTGTTTATAATCAGTTTCAGTTGCACTTTCTGCTTGTTTGAGTAAATAAATGAAACTTTAAGAATCATTATTTCTGGAATGTATTTATTATCATCGTCATTAAATTGAAGTTGGACAGATGACTTGATTATGACTTCAAAATTCAAAGTTAAGGACTTGGACTTGACTTGGACTTCCAGATTGTTGACTTTGGACTCGACTTGGACTTGGTTGTCTTTGACTTGGACTTGACTCGAGACTTAACAGGAAAGACTTGTGACTTGTGACTTGCAAAGCAGTGACTTGTTCACACCTCTGGAAACCTGAGGTCTCCTCCTCCATTAAATGTCTTTCCCATTTGACATATGTGGCTTCCTGTACTCCTCTCTTAAACCATCTATCTTCTCTGTCCAAAATGTGAGAGGTCTTCTTTGTCGGGCAATGCCCTTGTATAGTTGCTTAGTTTCCCCTACATGAAGGTCTGGACAGTCCTTACTGCACTGGACTGCAGAAACGACACCACTAAGCTTCTGTTTGGGTGTCCTGTCTTGTGAGGGCGTGTTCACATGGACTAAGCCGTGAATTAGAATTTAACTATCCTGATGAATGAGCTTTCTGCAGCCCCCCCCCCCCCCCCCCCCCCCCCCCCCCAAGGCTCATTAAAGAGCTGAAGTACCAGGAGACCATTTGTCTCAGTGTGCTAAATAAACAGCAGTGGAGTGATGGTCGTCTCAGAGTGTGTGGGCTTTGTCTGCTGGGGACTCGGTGCATGAAGCCGGAGATGTTGTCACACTGTAGTCCCAGTTTTAATGGTTCAAGCCAAACCAGGTTCATTTATAAAGTACTTTTAAAGCCGTCAGTTCCGACCAAAGGGCTGAACACAAAGTCACGAATGCATTTAACAAGTCAAAAAATAAATAAGAGGAGAGGGGACAATAACCACAAAACATGTAAAAGTCACTAAAATAAAAGGGAATTTCAAAAACTCATACTATGTCAAAAGTAGTGAGGTGGGTCTTAAAATAAGAGACCTTTCTAGAGTTCCACTATAGGAGCCAGCACCAGCCAAGGCCATTTCCAATTAGTTTACATAACTGGAGCCCCAACTTTACCTAAATAAAATAGTTTTTTCTCAGATTTTCACCTAGAATCCATGTCTCTCTATAAGCTACGCTGTTATGGGCTCGACATACAAGAGGCGACAAAGCGATACCCGCAGGTCTCCCTCCTGCTAAGCCACATATGAAAAATGTGTATATGAAGTTTTACGCTCGTTCACGTGTCGTGTACAGGTGAGCCAGCAACATGATCCCAGAAATTTTAAATTTTCATCATTGTCACTCGGACAAGGACCAATCAGCAAAGGTTTTGACTGGCCAATGAGCAGACAGGATGCCTCTCAATACATCTCCAGTCAAACATGGAGGAAAAGATGATGCTTGCCATGTTGAGTTTCCCAGAACTTTATAACATTTCTACAAAAAATGCAGAGATCTTCACAAAAAGGCAGCGGCATTGGAGTAGATGAGTTTGTTGTTGGGTGGTCTCATATTCAGTTTCTTTTTCTGTTTCTAATATGGGATAAACCCATTCACATATATTCTTTTATATAGTAAAGTCAGAAGTAAGACTTAGCTTTACTCTAGCAAAACCTTATGAAACTTGATATCTATCGCTTTTTCAACTCTGAACTGCTTTAATAACCCAACATTCCCATCCAATCTAAAAAATGGAAGACTCACTATTCGCCCTGGAACAGAACGTGTCGCTGGCTATTGTTGCAGGATGTCGCCTCTCCTTTGTCAGGTTGTCAAAGCCATAGTGATGAGTTTTGGTGATCACAGTCCTTTGTTGCTTCCCATGTGTCGAGCCTGTTAGGCTTTAGTTAGAACAGCTTCACAGTTTGTGCCGGATTTCCATCTGTCACTAATTTAAAGGGGAACTAGGCAGTTTTGGCTTGCTTTTAGCACCCATAGACACTAGCACCCCCTAAGCAAAAGTTATTTCCTCGCTGTGCGCTTGACTTAACCACCTTAATCTGTAAGCTGAAATGTCTCCTCAGCCTTTCTTAGTGTCTGCAGGAGTGATTCATCACTAAATTAAACAAATCAGCTGTGTTCATGATCTAAAACACACAGTAAACGTGCCAGAATCAGACTGCAGCACCAGGTATGCCAGCTCCATTTTTACTAAGTCCAACAGACACTCAAGTTCTTAGGTGTGTTCTTGCTGTGCGTTATTTCTAATTCCATGTTGTCGTTCTTTTTTAAACTGAGAAGGAAGTGACGCGGCACCATCAGCGTCAGCCTGAAGAAGCCGGCAGCCGTCGGCGAAACTGTAGCGTCAATAACAGGTAACAAAACCGTTTCTGTGTTTTAAAAAAGAACGACAACATGGAATTAGACACTCAAGTTGCAAATGCGGCATTCTTCAACTCACAGAATTCTCGGGTTCTTTTTAGCACTTTGGATTCTATTTTAAATGCAAATGAACCACTGGCTATTGAGTACACTACAGAATCCTGCAATAATTTCCTCAACTTCTTTGTTGACAAAGGGCGGAGGACGAAGGCTTCGATCACACCCTCCAATTACCACCCTCCTCTTTGGGGTCCTGCCCCAGGGCTCCTGGAGAGCTTTTATCCAACATCTCAGAGTTGGAGAAGGTGGTCAATAGTCTGGAACCATCTGGTTCTGTATTGGACGCAATCCCAGCTAAACTTCTAAAATAAGTTTTTCCAG